TGTTCTAAACTCTCATAGCTCACACTTGTCATTCCCTCACAGCATCCATCCCTTTCTGACTCAGATCATAGTTATGTGCTTACTTGTGTGATTTCTCTTTGAGGTCTTACTAGGGTTTTAACTTCTGATTTACCTTTGTATTCCAATGTCTGGCATCAAGTAGATGTTCAGTGGCTGTTTCCTGAATTTAATAGGACAGCTTTTTTACAAAGAAGCTTTTTAAGCTTCATCAGAATATCAATTGCAAAGTTCAGAGGTGGGTAGTTTTACAGAGAAGCAAACTAAAGCGTAAATGAGGATATTCATTTCCTATTGTTGCATAATGAATTAACACAAATTTAGCAGCCATAAAGTTCTGTAGGTCAGAAGTCTGAACACAGTGTGGCTGGGTACTCTGCTTACTGTCTTCCTCCTGAACAGGGTAAGAGAAGATATTGGGGTATTTTTTTAGCTCCACCCACCTTTCAAGTGGAATGTCACCTTTTCCTGCATCTTATGAAGTAGGGAGGGAGGATATATTAACGTCTCTTTTGCAGATAAGAAGTAACAGCTCGAAGTTACTTGGAAAGACTTTATTGCTTAGTTCAAGGAAGAATTTTCTTATAAGTGAGGCTTTTCTTATCCTCATCCAAAGGTAAAATGAACTAAGAGGTTGTGAACCCTTGAGGGAAAGAGAAGTATTGAAGATAAGCATTCATATCTCCTACGCACAAAGACAGGTGGATGTATTTAGCCTCTCTCAGACGTGCATACCAAGATATTTGAGCAATTCTAGCTAAAGTGGCAACTATTGAGGGGAAAGAGAATCTTGTTTGGAGCACTGTGAAAGAGGTGCTAACATTCTGTCCCCATGAGGGATGCAGGTACACAGGCATGCCTTGTCCCTCATCTGCTGCTCGTTTGCTAGGTCACCTCTGCAACTGTGAGCTGAGGCTCTGCCTCCCCATCTGTAAGATGAGGGGCTCATAGCCAAGCTGTCGTGAAGACCAAATGTTTGTGGACACAAACTGTGAACAGTTACACAGAGTAAAGTCAGCATCATCATTACCACTAGTCAGATCCATCCACTTGCCCTCCTCATCTTAAGTCTCAGTTACTGTAGAGTCTTGCAATGGATCTCCCTCTGCTGGTTAATGAAAGTCTAACAGGATATCACATTTTGGTGTCTCATTGTAAGATGTGTATCATACTTATATAAGACTTTGTTTCATTTTACTTGCCTCTTCATAGTCATTGGTGAATTTGGTCATTTTTATAACCATACAATACATTCCTGACAATCTACATGTAAGTAAACTATACAAGTCGAGCCATATTTTAAATGCATATTATAGAGAAATGGCTATTGCAAGGAAACCTCTGGTGAATCTCTTCATTTCTACTTCTGACCAAAAAGGCTACCCCCTTCCTCCTCCTTAATTCTTCATTTGGCTCAGTTCTGCCCAAGAACATTGAGTTGTTCAGTATATGTCCCACTGGTGAATGATATATTTGGACCATGCCACAGCACAACGGGTGGGGGACTTGCTAGATCCTGGAAGCACTGATCAATCATTGTTCTTCCAGGGCCTGAGGTCTGAGACAGGGCAGGGCTGTGCAGGGATCAAACAAGGAATGGGGTTTGAACAGTTACTAGGTTGTTTAGTTTGTGTGTCCTCTTCTGCTGGTATAGAGAAGGGCTGTTTCATTTGTGTAGTGACTTTACTCAAGAACAGAGATGAGTCAGTATTCTGCTTGATTTTTAACATTTTCTTAGGACCTTTCATTTACCTGGCTCACTTCCTTTCGCTTTTTTATTACCAAATCTTCAAGGAATACCCACCACAGAAATGGTGCCTTCCCAAGAATGCCACCTTTGGTCTTGTGCACTTTCCATCCTCTTTTTTTAAAAAGCAAAAAAAAAAAGTTTTATTGAGATATGCTTCACGTATTATAAAATTCATCCATTTAAAGTGTGCCATTCAGTGACTTTTAGTTTATTCAGAGTTTTTCAGCCATTACCACAATCTAATTTTAGAATATTTTCATCAAATATTTTCATCCATACTCATTAGCATCTAGTCACTCCCCATTCCTCTCCACCCCCTTTCCTGCCCACATCCCTAGGCAACCACTGATCTACTTCCTGTCTGTATAGATCTGCCTATTCTGCTGATTTCATTAAAATGGAATCATACAATATGTGGTCCTTTGTGACTGCTTCTTTCACCTGGCATGGTGTTTTCAAGGTTCACCCATATTGGAGCACATGTCAGTACTTCACTCCTTTTTACAGCCAAATAATATTCCACTGCATGGATATTCCAAGTCTCTTCTCTTTGATTTTTTTGGGGGATATAATTGATATATAACATTATATTGTGCTAGTTTCAGCAGTACAACATAATGATTCAATATTTGTATATACTGTGAAGTGCTCACCACAAGTCTAGTTAACATGCATCACCACACATGGTTATAGATTTTTCTTCTTGTGATGAGAACTTTCAAGACTTATTCTCTGCAATACTTTCAAATGCACAGTGTGGTATTATCAAATATAGTTACATTATGTCACCATGACTTACTTATTTTATAACTGGAAGAATGTACCTTTTGATTCCCTTCACTCATTTGCCTACTTCCCACTCCTGTCTCTGGCAATCACTGATCTGTTCTCTGTATCTATGGGATTGATTTTAGATTCCACATAAAAGTGGGATCATATGTATCTGTCTTTCTCTGTCTGATTTACTTGCTTAGCACAGTGCCCTCATGTTCCATCCATGTTGTGGCAAGTGGCAAAGCCTCTTCCTTGTTTTTTTAAATGGAGGTACTGTGGATTGAACCCAGGACTTCATGCGTGGTAAGCATGCGCTCACCACTGAGCTACATCCTCCCCCCGGAAGCATCTTCCTTTTGATTCCCCAGTTTTCAGTGCTATGAGTCACCAGGTCTCTGACCTCCTCTCAGTCCCATTTCTCCCTTGAGGAAGGAGTATCTCTTTTGAGGGGAGATTAATCTGTGTTTCACCAAAGCTAGCCCTAACTGCATTATCCTCTTTACTGATAATTCCAATGTCTGAAGATTTTGCAAGTCTATACACAGGGACTATGTTTCCCCCTGCTGGATCTCAGTTATGGGGGTTGGCTCTGTACAGAGGTTTGTGCTTTAAAAAATTTTTTTTTCACTATAAACTGCTCTTTTTGTTCTTGAACATCATACGTGGGAGTTCTTGCTAATATGCACTGGGGACATAGCCTTCCAGTTCACCGACAGAAGTCCTGAGTCTTGTCCTCTGAGGCTTCACCACCCATTCGGCCGACATAGCAGAAGCTCAGGGTCTCCAGCGTTCGCCAGGACTCTCCAAGTGAAAGCCATGTTTAGTGCTTGCTTACTTTTCACTTCATCTTAGGGTTTAGCTTCTTCCTCCTTTTCATTAAATTAACTGAAATTCTTTTAAAAGATGACTTTATTTCAGATTCAGCATTTCAGTTGCTTCAGTGATGGGGGTCATTCAGGTATAATACATACAACATCACTCTGCCAGACACAGAAATCTTCAGTAAACTTCATTCTCCTGATCTTTAAAGATATTTTCAATTCCCCTTCTTATTTTTGACCTTATCAGTCACACCTAATTTATGTTTGTATTAAGACAATTGTCATTCCTGTCTTTTTCTTTAGGTTTGACATGTCCATATCTTCCTGGCTTTTGCCCATAAGGTCTTCTTTTTGTGTGTGTTTGGAGATTGGTGTAACCTGGTTTTCTTTAGAAAGTTATTTGGGAGAATTATTTGAGCTTGGGTTTAAGATTTTCTCTTAAGAATCTAAAGAGAGGATTTGCATTTGCTTTTGGTTGGTGCTCAAGGGTACTACCAACCTCTGACTGCTTTAAAATTAATTTTCACCTAAGAGACCCTTAACTAAGCAGGTTGTGTGAATTCAGACCACAAACCTCCATTAGGGCGTATGGTTACAAATTTTCAGTTTACTTTTCCGCATACCCAGCATGAAGCCTGAAACAGTTAAGATTTCCTTTTTGTGAAATAGGATTTTTTCCCCTTAATTTCTTCTCACACCAAAGTCAAGTCCACTGGACTCTCATGTATATACATGTCTGGGTCTCCTGTCAAACTCTCAGGCAGCCCCAGTCTTTGTCTCCCTCTCCCTAAGATTCATGTGCTTGTTGAAATACAGGCACAATATTGCCAGAGTTCAGCAGATTTCCCTCAATGTGAAAGTCATCTTCAGAGCTGCCTTTACTCTCAGAATTCCTCATTTTTCTTTATATATATACATATTTTTGATGGAGATACTGAGGATTGAACCCAGGACCTCACATATGCTAAGTTTGCATCCTACCACTGAGCTATACCCACCCACTTTCTTTATAGTTGGATGTTGGAGATTTCTCTTCTTTTCTTGCCTGATCAGAAAGGTATTAAAAAAAATTCTCTAAAAAGTATGTTGTCCAATGTCTTTAGTTATTTTGCAGTGGTGAGTACATCTCTGCTTTTCAGTCTGTGAAAGCAAAATGTAATCTTTCTATTATATTTCAGAATCCAAAGGATCACTTCTTTCCTTTGTATTTTAGCTCTTCCTGGTCAAGGTAGTATCACAGAAACCCCCTGTTCATTCCATTCACCTGTTGATGTTGAGTTCCGAAAACAGAAACCTAGGAAACAAACTCTAGACCAGACTTCCTACAGCAGATTTCCTTGGCAAGGAAGTTATGTCAAAGTCTGAAGTTAGGCTTATCTCCACATCCCCACCTCAATCAACGAATATGCCTGGACACCCAGAGAATTTGAAGTCTGGGACAAAGTGGTCATTGTTCCTCTTGTGATGTTGTGTACGAGAAAGATCACTTACTGACCTTGTATTCAGTCTCATTCTCTCCAGCCTGCAGTCAGAAATTCTGAAAAGATACATAAGAGTCAAATACTGAAAAGTTGAAGGCTATGTTGATATAAATATTAATATATTAACTGCTTTGTGAAGTCATTGCTGGTGTAAGATAGGAGAGTCAACTGTCGAGACACAAAGAAGCCACTGGATTTGCATGGCACTGAGCCAGTCCTGGGTTTAGATGGACTGACTCACTTGCAATCCTGCCAGAGCATCAGATATGTTGAATAATGTTAAACGCATTTTCCTTGCAAAGTCTAGAAAATTCTAGTCAACAGGGTAACTAGCCTACCAGATCTTTAAGTAACTGTGACAATGGGAAAACATCCTCTTCTTACACCTCTTAAGGGCATCTTTGATTTCCTTGTTTCTCAGGCTGTAAATCAAAGGATTCAGCATGGGGATCACCACAGTGTAGAAGACTGATGTCATCTTGTCATAGCTCAGAGAATTATCAATGCTGGGGTGCATATAAACTAAGAGTCCTGATCCAAAGAAAAGGGTCACTGCTGTCAGGTGAGAAGCACAGGTGTTGAAGGCCTTGGACTGGCCTTCAACTGAGCTGATCTTCAAGATGGTGGCAATGATATAACCATAAGATATCATGATGATTAAGAGGGATGCCACACCAAAAACCACTGCTATCACAAACTTTATGACTTGTAGAAAAAAGGTGTCAGAGCAGGAGAGGACTAATAATTGAGGCAGGTCACAGAAGAAGTGGTTGATAACATTTGGTCCACAGAAGTCGAGCTGAAGTAAAGCACACAGTTGGATTAAGGAGCCAAAGATACCAGTTATATAGGCTCCAACCACCGTCTGCACACAGAGGGTGGGGGACATGATGGCTGTGTAGAGCAGAGGGTTACAAATGGCAGCATAGCGATCGTAGGCCATGGCTGCCAGGAGACAGCACTCAGTCAGACCCAGGCTAGAGAAAAAGAAGTATTGCATGGTGCACCCCATAAAGGAGATTGATTTATGCTTCTTGAAGAAGTCCAAGAGCATCCTGGGGGCTACAGTGGAAACATAGCAGATGTCCAGCAAAGACAGGTTACTGAGGAAAAAGTACATAGGTGTGTGCAAATGGGAGTCCATCCTAATAAGGGTGATGAGGCCCACGTTCCAGGACACCGTCATGAGGTAGATCCCTAGGAATACTGAAAAGACTACAGTGGTGAGCTTTGGAAATTCAGAGAATCCCAAGAGAATAAACTTTGTAATTGCTGTGCTGTTCCTTCCCCCAGCCATTGCATTGATGATCCTAGGGTTTGTAGGGAAAGAAGAGAATAAATCTCTAAGTCAATTGTTACCCCAATTTCTGTTAGAATAAATTGCTTTTACCCATGCTGAACACAGAATCAAGAGAGAGATTGAGCCATTTTAGAAGAAATAACTGGTTAACTTTGCCCCTAAACAATGGTTCTCCCTGTCAATTTTCCCACATATAAAAGAGGATAGTTAACACTTTTCATTGTTAACCCATCAACCTCTTACAAAGACAAAAGAAAGTAAAATAACATTTGGAAAGCCCTTCTTAAAAGGTACTTAAGGGGCAGGAGGGTATAGCTCAGTGGTAGAGCATGTGCTTAGCGTGCACGAGGTCCTGAGTTCAATCCCCAGTACCTCCATTCAAAATAAACAAATAAACTTAATCACCTCCACCAAAAAAAAAAATAGAAAAAGATACTTGGGAAATTTTAGGACATTCTTAATGGGATTTTAACTCCTGCATATAGCTTAGTGACTAACAGCATGGCCTTAGATGCCACCTAGCTATTTTTGAATGTGGCTCTGCTATCTGTAAGCTTTATGAATCTAAAAAGGTTCTCTGTTATCTTTCTACCTACATTACTTCATCTGAAAAACAGAAAAATAATTATAATAGAATCTATCTCATAAGGTTTAAAGTTAAATTAGGTCTGTTAAGTACAGTGCCTGCTGTGCATAAAGTATTATATGAAGTGGAGTGAGCAGGACATATCTTTCTAATATAGTTTTAAAGCATTCATTTGGTTTGTGATAAATTTTTAAAGTGTAGATTTTAAAGGGTTTGTCATGCAGATAACACTCTGACTACAGTTTGATTAAATTTGAAATCGGTAACACATGGAGAAATATCACAACTAGAGACAAATTACATATTTCTAAACTATTCAGAAGTCAAATAACAAATTGTAATGAAAATTTTTAAATATTTGTAACTTAAATGTAATGAAAAATGCTATTTATCAAATCCTGTAGATTTTTTAATTGAAGTATAGTTGACATGTAACATTGTATAAGTTTAAGATATAGAATGTGTTGATTTGACACATTTATATATTGCAATATGATCACCATTATAGCTTTAGCCAGCATCTCTATCATATCATATAATTGCCATTTCTTTTTTTTGGTGAAGACATTTAACAAATCTTGTGGATTTAACTAAAGATGTGCTTAGAGAAATATAGGTGTCTTAAATGCATATAAAAGATGAAAAACTGAAAACAAATGGTCTGACCATAATTCTTAGACAGTTAGGAAAGAACAAAAATATTTTAATTAAGTATAAAAAATTTCAAAGTGATACAAGAAAATCAGAAAAATATCAAGTCACCTAGGGGGAAGATAACAGCCCAGCCTCATACTTGATAACAAGATTCAACAGTGGAAGAGAGAAAAGTGATGTTTGCAAAGTTTGGGGACAAAGAAAGTGTGATGCCCCAAATTTGGTGCCCACTCAACTGTCCTTCAAGAATGAAAGCAAATTTATACACATTTAAACATGAGAGAACTCAGAGGGCACCTGTGCCCATTAGCTCTTCTCAAAAAAAATCTATCGGAAGGTGAAGGTAAACAACCCAAAAAAAGAATGGAGAAAATAATTTGATTGTAAATAACACTTTACTTAAAATCTTAGCCTTGTGTAGATACAGTAAGTAAATAAAAGAGAAAATGCAATAAATAAAATTCTTTTAAGTTTACATCTTCGTTCCTCAACCTACTACAAACCTATGCCCAGATCATAACTGAAAAATTCATGAGTAGTCCTATATGAGATACCCATTTCTACAGTTTGGGGGAGATGGAGAAAATGAAAAGTAGACAAATTAGTGATAGGAGCCCCTGCATTTTGCCTGTTGTCTTGAATCTGTGGAAGTTTCTGAAATTCATCCAACTAGACTCTTCAACATCTTGCCTTCCTATACTGTTGCAATATGGGAGCAGAGGAGGGAATTTCCTACACAGGTTTCTCTCTAGCCTTTCTGCAGCTCAGTCATCACAGCCCGAAAATTATCCCCCTATAGCAGAGCTTCTCAACCATGGCTGTATGTTAGAATGACCTGGTGCATTTTTTAAAGCAATAGTGATCAAACTGATTAAATCAGCCTCTCTGGGGCTGGGGGCCAGACATCAGTATTTGCTAAGACTCAACAAATGATTTCAACGTGTAGTCACAGTTCAGTGTCCATAAGAATTATCTTGAAGGCTTGTTAATACACAGGCTTCTGGGCTCTGTCTCCAAGAATTTCTGACATGGTTGGTCTGAGTGGCGTCTGACAGTTTGCATTTCTGACAACTTCTCGGGTGATTCTGATGGCACTGGTTCCAACAGCACACTTTGAGAACCACTGCTCTAAATAATAAACATGTTAAATGAGCTTTTGTTGCTAGAGTATAAACAATTGTTTTTAAAAAGTACGTAGAATTAAAGGTCACATTGGCCTAGTATCAAGTGTAGCTAAAGCAAGTCACCTCTCACATCAACTATTATAATGTTTAAAATCCTTCTGCAAAGACAGCAGGTCTGCAAAGATGGCAGCTGACAATTTTTAATATTTCATGAAGCTATTAAAACTGTCTTTTTATGTAAAATAACACCATTAAATTGCCTTGGAGTAAAATTACATCAACTCCTCCTGGCTATTCTATTTCAAACTAAGCAAAAGTTTCAACTATCTCTGTTGAATATAAATGAGAAATTAACTACTGAGAAGCAGAGTATGTTTGCTTCCACCATTTACCAACTTGATGATTTTTGACAAATCACTTCGTCTCTGTGTGCCTCCATTTCATCATCTGTAAGAGAAGAATTATCACTTAACAGGGCTTTTGTGAAGACTTATTTAAGTATAGTATATAAAGTATGTAATAGAGTACTGGTCACATAGTAAGCTCTCAAAATGTTATACTAATAATGAATAACAGTAACTATTATATGCTAAAGGTATTTGCTAACTAAAAATCTTTTACAGGGGAAAAATGGGATTATTTGGTAGTGAAAATCTGGGATTCCTGGGCCCAGATTGTGAGCTATCAGAAAACCTCCATGTCTTCCATTCCTCACTCTTTCTACTTGCTAATATCTGAAATTCCATGTTGGATGTTTTCCTTTAGGCTCAAATACCTTGATTTCTGTTAAAGTTCAAATAATTCCATTGGGACAGAGAAGAGGGAACATGGTTATTGTGAGAAAATTAAAAAGTAAAAATAGTCACTGAACCTAGATGTATGAGGTCCCTGAGCTGAGTGCATAGGGTTGCAAGAAGAAAAAGAAAGCCAAATTGTCCCATTCTTATTTTACTCACCCAGATTGTCTCATATATATTCTAACAGGTGTGTCTTGGTAAAATCCAAGAAGCGCTGCTGCCATGGCAGCCTTTTCCTGGACCTGTATCTGAACTCTGGATGTCCAGATGTGTGTAGGGTTCTTTCAGGAGTTAGAGGACACAAACATAATATGAGCATTAAGGATTAACTTCCCCTACACTCTGGGCTTTCAACCATGGATCCTGCTAGCCATCGCTGTACAAGAGGTGCTTCCAACTCAAGATTTTCTCTTAAAAGTTTCCTTGGGGTCCAATGTAGGGAGAAAGGAGGCAATTAACAGAAGGCAACTTTTTGGTTAATTATTCTCTAGAGTGATGGATGGTGAAACAGAGAAATGTTCCCAGTTGATTCCATTTCTCCACATTATCATGTGAACCTCACAACCTTATTGAATCAATTTCCAATTTTCCCTTCAGACTTTTAGAACCATGAGAACTGGGAGGGACTCTCAATGCAGAGTGATCATAGCATTTATTATCAAAACTGGATAATTTTGGTCATGAAAAGGAGTTATTAATAATGAGATCAGGACAACAAGCATAGACCAGGATTGTCCCAGGCAAACCAAGTCGTACGGTGAACCAGGTTGTATGGTCACCCAACATTTGAAGTCTTTATCAGAATAGTCATCCATTGTGGTTTTGGTGATTATGTGGTTTCAGTCTCTGGATGGACTTGCTTGGGTTGAATTCAAATTTAATTACTTACCAGCTCTGTGACCTTGATTCTTTTACTTAATCTCACTGTACTTCAATTACTTAATCAATAAAGTGGAAGAATATGAAAATGAATATATGTGTGCACTTGCATGACTGGAATATTGTGCTGTATACCAGAAATTGACACATTGTAACTGCCTATACTTCAATTTTAAAAAATAATAAAACAGATGTGATAATAAAACCACTACCTAAAAGAGTTGTAATGAACTTAAATAATATCTGTACAGTATTTGGAAGCACTCATCAAATGTTAGAAATTCTACTACTGCTAACATTATAATTGTTGTGATTCTGTTACCAAGTCCAAGCTCATACTCCTCCCAACACGACAAGCCAAGAAATTGAGAGATGAGTAGTTGGGGCAAGGAATAGTGACTTTATTTGGAAAGTCAGCAGACCAAGATGGCGACTAGTGATCCAAAGAACCATCATACCTGAGTTAGAATTCAGGATTCTTTTATAGTAAAAAGGGAGGGGGCATAACTAGCTGCTGCAAAGAGCTTAAGGAATTTCTGT